CCTTTAAATCAGAGCTAGATAAGATTTTAACAACTCTGAGCTATTAGTTAAGTTCTCCCCAAGCGAGCTCGATGGGCCGAATGGCCTCCTCTCATTTGTATAGTTCTTATGTTCTTCTTATGTTCTTATCAGTGATCCCTGGCTGTGGTATCTCCATGGATCAGTGAGCCCTGACTGTGATATATCCATGGATCAGTGATCCCCGACTGTGGTATGTCCATGGATCAGTGAGCTCTGACTGTGATATATCCATAGATCAGTGATCCCTGGCTGTGGTATCTCCATGGATCAGTGAGCTCTGACTGTGATATATCCATAGATCAGTGATCCCTGGCTGTGGTATCTCCATGGATCAGTGAGCCCTGACTGTGATATATCCATAGATTAGTGATCACATGAGGTTTGAGCTCCTCATGACTGACCTGCCATGTGCTTCCAATCCCATCCAGGGCAGTCAGTGTAGCCTCCAGCTGCTCATGGACCTGGGGCCTTCGCCTCTGAGCCGTCGCATCCCCTTCAGTCCCAGTAGAAGATCTGAAGAGAAAAATGTGCTTAGACAGTCCACCCAGTTCACCTGCCTGCCCTTCCTGACACACAACTCAAAAAGCAGCTTTCCAAGCCCTGCCAAGATTTGGTCACCAGCTAGTATGATGTCTAAAGAAAATGGCTTATCTATGTCTGTACTCTAGTGTAACATTACTGAATGACAGAGACATGTTCTTCTGTTGCTTCTACTTAGCAGGTAATAAAGGGAAGTCCAACAATCAGAGCCTACATGCTTTAGCTAACTGGGGAGTCTTACCTGGTCAGCAGTTGAGCCTTGTACTCCTTTGTGGCTCTTTGCAGCCACCCCTGGCTGCTGTAATGCAGTAACGCCGCAGCCAGATCTCTCTGCTCTTTCAATTCAAGCTGGAGCTCCTGCAGAAGAAGATCATAACATCATGCAGAGAAGTGAGCCAAAGCTCGACGTTTTAAGTAGCATCTCTCAATGTACCAAATGAAACCTGTCACCACGTCATTAAACAAGCCTGATCTCTCTGATGCAGTGGAATACCAACCTCATCATCATTCATTCATTCATTCATCCACCCACTTTCTGTACCTTTGCAGGATTGGGGGGGGGGGTACGGAGCAGATCCCAGAGCCTACAGGCACACCTAGGACAGGGGCACCAACCCTTTCCTGGGATCATATACAGTACTGTACCAATCACACCTATATTGGCAATTTGGTAACTCAAAATAATAACAGTGCGGTTAGTTGGCGCCCACCCAGAGTTGTTGCCGACCTGCGCCCGATACTCCCGGGAGAGGCTCCGGGCCCCCCGCAACCCCAGTGGGGATTAAGCGGTTACGATAATGGATGGATGGATGGAAATTAATAACAGTATGTTTTTGGACTGTAGAGGGAAAACCAGAGCGCCTGAAAGAAAGCTTACGAGGACATGGAGAGAACATGCAAACTCCACACACAGAGCGAGGGCGGAGACTCGAACCCTGGTCTATTAAGTAGTACAGCGACTGCACAGACCACTGTACCACCCACGAACCCAATCATTTTATTAAAATAAACTATAAAACAAGACTCGAATTAAGCAGCCTCTTCTTGAAAATATTGTCTCTTCAAAGTAAATAGCTTGACTTGAAAAACTAAGTAGTGCAGAGTGGACAGTAGAGATTTGTGATGTTAAGAGTTCATTGATATGCTCCACCAAGGTCTCAGGGTTATAGCCACTGATCTTACCTTCTCCTGCTGGATGGATTGAATCTTCAGAGTGGTCAGGAGCTCTGGATTGCTGACAGTGTGCTCCAGCCCTCCCTCTTGGGCTAATACTCCACACTGAAAGTCACTCTGCAGCAATATTGGGGGTCAATTTGATAGTATTAGGCTGAGCCTGGACCAGATGGTCACACCAGCTATGAAGTCTTTCTGACTAGATCTGATTCTTAGTTTAAAGTTTAGACTGTGAATCCCCACTTCAACAAGAATCAACATGCATCAGTTGCTACATTATCAGGATGGATTTCTAAATTGTCCCCAAAGGCCTTAAACTGGACTTTAAATTAAGGTGTCTGCTAAGTATGTGAATGTGTGTGCAGGTTTGTGGGTATGAGTAAATCGGTGTACCTGATCCTGGCTCCAATGTTCTGACAGCGGCAATAATGGGAGCAAGCTGATCTTGAGTTGGTCTAGGGTTGACAAGAGTGTAACGGTCCATCCATGTGTTTCAGCAACATCCTGTGGACTCAGGCTGTACAAACTGGATACATTTTTCTCCATTTCCTCACATGCTCCCTGCACATACAAAGAGAACCAACGTTATCAGTGACCAGATAGGCTAACTGCCACTAAGTGGTGCAAAAGATCTCTCCATAGTGCTGACCATTGACATCTCCTTTGCTTACCTGACAGGTGAGTAGCTGCTCCTCTATGCCACCTGGCATTGGTGCCCCTGGAAGCATATCACTGAGACTCTGATGTGCTCTTTCCAGCCAAGCCCTAACCTGAGTGGTTAGCTCACATAATGACTGGAGGCCCTGGTCAACCCAGGGGCCACCAGAAACTGGCACATGCATGGGGGGCACTGCCAATGGCTCTAGGGGAATGACCACATCCCCCTGCACTAGTGGCACAGTCTGCAAAGGCACAGACACATCCTTGTGGGGAACTGAGGACCTAATACCTAATACATCCCTCTGGGGAAATTTCATAGTCTCATGTGTCACTGACAGAGTGTCTTTGGGAGCTGACACATCCTTCTTGGGAACTGACACAGTCTCCTTTGTTTCTGATATAGTCTCTTTGGTAGTGAACACATCCTTCTTGGCAATTGACAGGGTGTCATGTGTTACTGACACATCCCCTTGGGGACCTAACACAGTCTCCTGTGTTACTGATGTAGTCTCTTTGGTAACTGACACAATATCCTGTATTACTGATGGAGTGTCTTTGGTAGCCGGCACATCCCTTTTGGGAAGTGACACACTGTCACTCGTTACTGATATATTCTCTACTGGATCTGAAAAATCATTCTGGAGAACTGACATGGTGTCCTGTATTACAGATATAGTCTCCTTGGGAGCTGACACATCCCTCTTTGAGACTGACTCTGTCTCCTGTGTTACTGATGTAGTCTCTTTGGGAGTTGACACATTCATATAGGGAACTGACACAGACTCCTGTGTTAGTGATGTAGTCTCTTTGGTAGCTGACACATCCTTCTTGGGAGCTGACACAGTCTCCTGTGTTTTTGGAATAGTCTCTTTGGGAGCTGACACATCCCTCTTGGGAACTGACACCATCTCCAATGTCACTGATGTAGTCTCTTTGGTAGCTGAAACAACCCTCTTGGGAACTGACATTGTCTCCTCTGTCACTGATATAGTCTCTTTAGGAGTTGACATATCCCTCTTGGCAGTTGACAGAGTGCCATGCGTTTCTGATACAGTTTCTGGAGGAACTGATACATCCTTTTGGCGAACTGACACAGTCTTTGGTGTTATTGATGTAGTCTCTTTGGAAGCTGACACATCCCTCTGGGGAACTGACACAGTCTCCTCTGTCACTGATGTAGTGTCTTTGGGAGCTGACACATCCGATTTGGGAACTGAAACAGTCTCCTGTGTTACACATATCGTCACCTTGGTAGTTGGCACATCGCTCTTGGAAACTGATAGAGTGCCATGCATTACTGATATAGTCTCTGCAGGAGTTGACACATCCTTCTGGAGAACTGACATGGTGTCCAGTGCTACTGATATAGACTTTTCAGGAGCTAACACATCCTTCTGGGGAATTGACTTCTTTCTAATTTCTTGTGCTGCGGATACAGTCTCTTTGGGAGCTGACACATCCCTCTTGGGAACTGACACCGTCTCCCGTGTTATTGATGTAGAATCTTTGGGAGCTGACATGTCCCTATTTGAAACTGACAGAGCATCATGCGTTATTGATTTAGTTTCTGCAGGTACTGACACATCCTTCTGGCGAAATGACACATCCTTCTGGTGAACTGACATGGTGTCCAGTGCTACTGATATAGACTTTTCAGGAGCTGACACATCCTTCTGGAGAATTGACAACATTTCTTGTGCTGCAGATAGAGTCTCTCTGGGAGCTGACACATCCCTCGTGTGAACTGACACAGTCTCCTGTATTACTGATGTAGTTTCTTTGGGAGTGGACACATCCTTCTGGAGAACTGACACTGTGTCCACTGCTACTGACATAGGTTCTTCAGGAGCTGACACATCCTTCTGGAGAATTGACAACATTTCTTGTGCTGCAGATAGAGTCTCTC